TGGTGATTATCAGAGGGAAAAGGGTTTGGGGGAGGTTAAGGGAGATAAATGGTGATGGAGACTTGACTTGGGGTGTCAAACATATAGTACAATATGCAATATCAGTACAAAGATGATGTATTATGGAATTGTACATCTGACAACTACATAATTTTATTAACCAATGCCACCCCATAAATTCAATAGAAAAAGTAGATAAGGAAACATGAATCACAAAAGATTGTTCGCTAACCGGTTTGGCTCAATGGGGTTTGGCTCAGTGGATAGAGCGTTAGTCTGCGGACTCAAGGGTCCCAGGTTCAATTCCGGTCAAGGGCAATGCCGTACCTTGGTTGCAGGCACATCCCCAGTGGGTAGTGTGCAGGAGGCAGCTGATTGATGTTTCTAGCTTTCTATCCCTCTCCCTTCCTCTCTGTAAAAAAAATCAATAAAATATATATTTTTTTAAAAAAAGATTATTCGTTGATAACCCTCAGGGGCCATCATACTTAATCACCACAATTCTCTCAGAGTGATCACAGACAAACTCATTTGTGCTTTGGAGTAAAATATTCTTGGGAAATTTGATTTTCACAGCTTTTTTTTTTAAACAAAAGTAGAAAAACTTTCTCAAACTCCTTGGTTTACTTAATCATTTTCTTCCTTGAACCTCAATCAATCCACTTCTCATTAGTGGGATGTTGGGTCTTGGGGGTTAAGAAATGTTTTCACCCAGATACTTGGATTCTTTTCCTCCCTAAACACAAGCAGATTCAGACTGTACTGAATAAATATTGGGTTCATTTGTTTGTTTACTAAACCTTTGCTATTAAAAACAAAACTGGTTTGTGTACTTTCAGAAATAGACTCTATGATCTTGGAGTAAAATTACATAAATGAATATTATGAAGGTAGACCAGATTATTGGGGTGGCATAATTCTCTGCATTCACTAATGTCTGCATTATCCAAAGAAGCTATCACCACGTTGGGTTTTTCATAACACACATTCCTTAGTGTAGAATGTGTTACAAGTACAAGAGGAGTCGTCATGTTAGAGATGTAATGCAAACCAGGGCAGTACCCCTGTTAACACAGAAGAATTCTCTGGAAAGCCTCACAGAACTCACTGAAAGCTGTTATACTCATGGCCACATTGATTACAAGAGGAAGACACAGATTATAACCAAAGGAAGAGATGCATAGGACAGCATCTAGGAGGGTCCAAATGAGGGGCTTCAGGCATCTGCTCCCCTTGACAGTGTTACCTCCTCCCTGCCTGATACATGGCCACGTGTAGAGTATGGCCAACCGGGGAAGCTCACCCAAATCCAAAGTTGTTACAGTAGGTCCTTGGGTTACATCGGAGATCCGTTCCTATTGCAAGACGAAACTTGATTTTCGCCGTAAGTGGGAACTCACCTACATAAGCACCTACGTCACTCACATAGAGCACATACATAGCAGTAATGAAGTGACACAGTAAAAAAAAAAAATTTAAAAGAAGAAAGATAACAACATCCGACCTTGTGGTAAATAAATCATAAACACATAAAACACATTTGTATATACATCGAAATGACAAACTTTTTTTAATAAACACTGTAAATGGGAGATGACAACGTAACCACGAAACGGCGTATGTCGAGGACCGCCTGAATTGTGGTTTCATTGCTTAGTTGTGATTGATTGAATTATTGTCTAGGTCCATGGTTCCCAGCGTGGGGCCCCACAGGGGGACAATTTGATTTTTGAGGGGGGCAATTTGAGAATGAGTTATTAACAGTTAATTTTTTCCCATTTCTTATGGTTCTAGGTGCCTCATATATAGTATGTAAATATATATTGCGACATATTTATGCATTTCAGTTCTCTATTATATGTTTTTGAAATTTTATTTGCTATGTTTTTATATCACTTCATATTATTATTTTTTTTAACAATTTCTTAGTGATTTCTTCCTCAGTACTTAAATTGTCCTTTTGTTTTTTTATTTTTCTCAATGGATGATGCTATGTTCTTTAGAAGCTTGTTTAGACCAAGTTAATGTTAACGGCCTTTTAGACTTCCTGCACATGAATAGGAGTTCACTTTTTGAATAAGAAGAATTATATGTGGGGGGGATGGGGGTGGGGGGGCATCAGCATTTTAGAGATGCTTTCGTGGGACATGGTCAAGAAAAGGTTGGGAACCACTGATCTAGGTTGTTGAATTCAAACTCTGGTGTCTCCCTCCCTGTAGTTTGCCTTGCTGGTGGCCAGAGGGGCCCCCCTGAGCCACCTGGGTAGACTATTCAGTCAGGGGCCTGCCATGAATAATAAAGACACACCGATTGTTTGGGGAGTTTTAAGAATTTAGAAGTTACCTCTCAGGCCCTGAGGACAAAGGTCAGACCTCTGTGTGAGCAAGGCCAAATTCCATGTAGTGGGTGAGACCATTGAACAAAGTTGTAAGAGAATCAGGGTGATAAAGGTCTTTGGGAACTAGAGTGGGCACTCGGAGGATCCCCTAATTCCATTCTCTAGCGTGGGAGAGGAAGGGCTCAGAGGCAGCTTCCAGGAGGTGGTGGCTCTCAAGCCAAGGCTTGAGTCCAAGCCAACGGGAGATGCTTGTTCCTGATGCAGGGAGCACCACTTGCCAGGTACAGATCATGGCCGTGAGTCATCTCACCCACACATAAATGATTTCGTGTCCAGGTGGCTAATGTCATGCCTTGGCAGTTGGTTAGCTAGTTTCACCCACTAGTGACCTAATTTTGACAGTTTCCTGCATTGCTGTGAACTCTCATTGTGGATCATTGAGAACTGACCATATATGTGTTTTTATTTAATAGGCGACACACTTGCCTATGTGTCTGATTTGGGGAAGGTCTTTTCTTTTGGTTCTGGAGAAGAAGGACAACTGGGAAACGGTGGAACGCAGAATCAGCTGATACCACTTCCCATGAAATTGCCATCAAATGAAGAACTCAAGTTTGGTAAATTCTATAGGAGCACAGGATTTGGCGTAAATACTTTTGTCGAGAAGCTGTATTGTGGCAAGAAAAGAAATGTATGACTGAAGGGAGTTTCTCTTAATATTGGTTTCATATCCAGTCTAATTTATCAAGTCAAGTCTAATTTATCAAGTCAAGTTAATCATTAGTTTTCTCTTACCTCTTCAGATTAAGACTAATGTGGACTTAAAATGATACAACATAAATAGACTCTATGGATTCAGAAGCATATGCAGCCTCTGATTCCAGTTTGCAGGGGGCCTATTAATTTCACGGTGTTTGGTTTTCTTACCTGGTTAAGTAACCATGTAAAACCCTCAGAACGAGAGCAGCTGACATATGCCAGGTAACTGTGCTGAACACTTCGTATGTGTTATCTAATCTGTCCTTAAACAGCTCAGGGAGATGAGCACTCTCAGTCACATTTTACTGGAGGTGCAGAGACAGAGAGTGAAGGGTTAGCCAGGGCTCATGGCCAGTAAGTGGTTCTGCTGGATTTGAACTGTGTCCTGTGCAACCTCAGAGCCTGAGCTCTGAAACCCTCTACTCTAGCAGTACCTCGGAGCGCTTTAGTTACCGTTCTGAAGGTTTAGTGGTGACCTAAAGTACCAGAATTCTCTCAGTTCTCCAGGGAAAAGTGACAGTACGGTTATTTCCTTAAGCAGTTCATATACTTGATTTCTTCTAACCACTTACATAGACTTTGGAAATACTTATTTACATTCCTCACAGCCAATAGTCATTGGTCAAATCTTAAGTTGTAGAGTGTAGTTTTTAGTAATTGGAGCCAAATTACATCAAGGAACAGTTAACTAATCAAGTATTTGACTGTGAAATATATATGTGCATTGGCATTAATTCTGTACATTAAACTGATGCCACATATCAACCTTGTGAATCACCTGTTTGCCGACTAGAATTTAACCTGAAGTAGATATATATTTCTGCTTTATGGGTGGGAAATGTGCTGAGTCTTTGTCTATCAGAAAGCTAAAAGGACTAAGTTTTAAAAGAATCTGAAATTAAAATGAGTGTGCATGTTTGTACCAAGTTTTAAACTCTTACTTTCTGTATATCCCTTTCAGAAAGCCATACCTCAGAAAATGAGTTAATAATAATTGCTGGAGGAAATCAAAGCATTTTGCTCTGGATGAAAAAAGAGGTAAAAATAGATCTTTAGATATTCTAGAACTTGGTATTTTAAGCAAAACAAACAGTTCCTGAATCCAAGTTTGGTGAATTCCAAAATCATCGGGTGACTACGCTGACTTTTGGGGATTTGGTTAGAC